GAGTGTTTAGCGCTCCGTGATGTTCATCTCGCCTTATTCTGGGTCCGAATAAAACATCAGATCATGCACAGACTATCCTGTCTCTTTGAATTTAAATCTATATTTATTCACACCGGCTCTTGAAAACCTCTACACACTTGCCCGAAAAAGTGCGGGGGACGAATTTACTTGATATTAAAAGTGGGGGGGACACATCCCCCGCGTAATCTACGCCAATGCTTAAATGTATAATTACACTGTAACAAGGACACCTTAAAATAAAGTGTAACCTCTTTTCCCTTGAAATTGTAATTGTGTGCAATGACTCCTGACAGTTACAATCATGGTCACTTATGTAAATATATCGTCTCGGGTGGCTTACCGAGATTCAGCTAGTAGGACATTTTCCTGGATCAACATCCTTTTTGGTCCTAACAGAACATTCCTCGCCACCAGATTTTAAAGACAAAGACTTTTCTTAGACACCCAAACAACATTCTTATCAACCAATTTACTTTGATTTAGGGCTTGATATAGTGGTTAGGGTTAAGCCAAAACTGTTCCAGAAGCAACAGAAAATGTTTCGCCAGGTTTTAGATGAGAGTACATAACACTTCCAAGGACCATTTTCTTTCATCATAACACACGAAAAGAGACACAAGCCAAAGATGTTCTCCACAAGCCGATCGTAACTAAACATTTAGCTGCTTCAACCCAAATCTGCTCTTAAGGTTTGACAAGTCCATCAGAGGAGAGTCCAGTACAGCTTCACGAGTATGTATACATTAGTCCTTGTCCAAAAATCGCAAAATGTTGGCATCATGCAGAGAATGAGTCCATGAGTCTACCATTTAAAAAAAGCACAACACAGCTGTCTAACAGGGTTTGTCGCTCAATTATAAAGACAAATGCTCAAATCATAAAATCTGGGTCATTGCACATGATTACATACTGGTCTTTTTAGTATACTTTTCTGGAAAACTCCATTAGCCAGAAGTAAATACTGTTTACAGAAAAAAGGCATGCAGGCTTTTAGAAGGGCGGCGGGTTGTTTCAATCAGTCATCCGATTTTTTTGTTACTCGTAGCGGTTTGTGGTAAAGCATCGCAACACTGGCCTGTAATGCTACCTGAGCAATTATAATCCATTTTAAAGACTTGATTTTTTTCTTTAGAAAATTTGTAACTGATCATAGTGCATACAAACCAAGCTTCACCCATATTTCACAGAAGCATCCGGGAGGAAACCTTCACGTCTGCATCCTGCTTGGCTCTGTCCAATCTTGTTATTTTGAGGAAACCATGAAAGCAAGTTTGTCTATCTGATTGACTTAAAAATTCTTCCTTTTAATAACAAGACTGCTACAACTGTGACATTTGAGTCCCCAAAAATCTTCCCAAAAAGACTATATTATTCCATCAAGTCTAAAATCTATTTTGCTCCCTGAAGCAGTTCCTGCAAGTGAATATAAACTCCCAGTGACCAATAGACATGGGTGATTAAATATACATGGAAGTGTAATGGACTATAAAATAGCATTTGGTACATGCAAACAGTACAGATAACATTGTAATAGAACACTACAGTAAAACTTCCTGTCTGCAGTGCCGTAGAAATTCTGTCATAATTTACTCTCAGTCGTCATATGACTTCCTTTCTACTGTAGAACACAAAAGGAGATATCTACGGCAAAATATCTAAGCTGCTCTTCTCCATTCAGTGAAAGCCAGCTGTTGAGCAAAATGTCCAGTGCAAAATAATTGAACACTTTTCATTTACTCTGTCGTCATATGACTTCCTTTCTACTGTAGAACACAAAAGGAGATATCTACGGCAAAATATCTAAGCTGCTCTTCTCCATTCAGTGAAAGCCAGCTGTTGAGCAAAATGTCCAGTGCAAAATAATTGAACACTTTTATGATGTTTTTATGGTGTTTATCTACTTTAATTGAGAACAGCTCAATCTGTTTGTGTTCCATGAAGGACAAAGGTTAAAGTAAATGATAATAGCTGCTTATTTTTGGGCTGAACTGTTCATTTTAATAGTTTCCAGAAATAGTGGATGCTGTTAGAGACTTTCTAGTTTGCAACAATATATAATTCTATTAAAAAACAAGCAGTAAGACATAGTGAATGGCATATGCGCAGTGTTTGCTTTGATGCGCTTGGCATTATGCTGCAGGACGCAGGATGAGAACTGAATATCAGAGCCCAGGAGAACTGAATCCTCAGCTAAATAATTCTCTTTATTGCATTCCAGATCAGACTTTAGCGCCTCATGTGTTTCCATTACGCTAATACCATTTTAAAATGTTAATTTCTTCACAAGCCGAGGTCAGATCAAAGCCTGGGCTGTGTCGATGCCATGCTTGACTGAACACTCTCTGCTAAATGGTAATAAATACATTTTCTTCTCAATCCTATAAACATTTTTATATGACGTACTGCCGTGTTCTCTTTCATTAGCATCCATAAGTCACAGCTCATTAGGTGGCATTATTGCAGACTTGTTGACTGTAGCTTTAAGAGAAAAGTTCAGTTTCCACAAAATATCCCACTTTTTCTTTTTTCCCAACAAATACTATTTTGGTAGGGTTTATGCAAGACACAATTTAGTGGTTTCTGTTTCTTTTCTTTTTTCTTTTAAAGACAAATTCAATCAAAACAGGTTGAATTATAACTAAAAGTGACACAAACAACAGTACATTCGCTACACAATGATTAGACAAACGTGTGTAGTTAATAAAATTGTTTTGTACTACTTAGTATAACTATTTAAATATAATGCTGAAATTAGGAATCTGCCAAAATATTAAAAAAGAACAGTGCCCTGCTAGGAATACATTCTGTGTTAGTCAGACATCAACTGTAACAGGCATTCATGAAGCGTCACATACAGCAGATGTGTTTAAATTGCAAACCCGAGTCATCAAAAAAAAAAAATACAAATAAAATATGATCGTGACTTAATACTTAATATCCCAAAAGGTTGAAAATTTAGCTTGTACTTAAAGATCAACATTGCCATCTTCTGGAGACACTGAGTACTACAAAAAATTAACTAAAAAGCTCATACATTCGAATTCTTATTTATAAGCTTACTGTTAACACTACAACTTAAACAAACAATAGATAAGCTAAGTTAATCACACAATAAATAACAAATTACTACATTACTACAAATTAACTTACTTTTTTGGATCACTTTTAGCTGTTTGCAACATCTGTTTGCATGCAAAATATATTTTGGGGAATTAATCAATCAAATGAAAAGTGTTGAAAATACTATTTGCACAATAAAATATAACTTTGTGTTGTAAAGGTGTATATTAGTCATTCAGTGTAGGTATTAATGCAAAATTTTATATGCATAGTCGTACTGACAGCTCTTAAGGAAGAGTTCACTATTTAAATTCTGTCATATGGCTTATTTTATGGTGTTTATGTGGGGAGGGGGGGTTGTGGGACTTGACTGCTGTCAAAAAAACAAACAAAAAAAAAACAGTGGCCTGGACATGCTTTTAAATTGCTCCTTTTATGTTAGAAAATGGAAGTCCATTAAAGGGTTAGTTCACCCAAAAATGAAAATTCTGTCATTAATTACAAACCCTCGTGTTGTTCGAAACCCGTAAGACCTTCGTTCATCTTCGGAACACAATTTAAGATATTTTTGATGAAATATGAGGGCGCTCTGACCCTCGCATAGACAGCAAGGTAACTACCACGTTCAAGGGCCAGAAAAGTACGTATTTACGTAAAGTACATAAATACTTTTTTTGCGCAAAGAAAACAAAAATAGTGACTTTATTCCACATTTTCGTCTCTACTGCGTCACTTGTGGATGCGCGATCACGACAGTATCATGACGCGAGCGTGTGGCGGCGCTGACCCAGATCCGGCGTAATGACGTCATCACGCCGGATCAGGGTCAGCGCCGGCGCCGCCACACACTCGCGTCATGGTACTGTCGTGAACGCACATCCAAAGTGACACAG